GCCTCAAACCTTTTACATAGACTGTCAACATAAAAAGAATACATCTTGCTTCACTTTGGTTGATTTTCTACCTATAACGTTGTTATGCTTCGCCTCGGTTGACACTGTTTTCTCGGGGTAACAATCTGTAAAATATGATGTTTTATTGAAACGCGTGTGCTCTAAATCGGTAATATTGATGATATAGATTTTCACCCGTATTGCTATTCATTGTGAGTTCTTCTCTGCATATTTGTTAATACACTGAAATAAAGGTACGCGAATCAAGAGACGAAGGTTAAATAATCGAAACACATTTTATCTTTGAAAGACATTAGTGTGTCTGTTTCTTTGTTTTTGTTCAATAAAGAATTTGTGTTGATTGTTGATTTTTTTATTATCTTTCTTTAATTTTAATCACAACTTTTTTAAACTCCATATCATATAGAATGTAGCATATTATGTGGACATCATCTTAATATTCTCCTACTGCATCAATTCACACAATTATCAGATGAGAGACTATACGAATACGAATACGAAAGTTTTATTTTGAGTCGGTTCACATATAACAGTACAAACACATCAAACTCTTGAGAGCTTTTTACGACGCAGAGATTATTACCAGATCATCTGCAAAGTTAATCCTGGATTGATTGCACTTGTAAAATTATTGTGAGGTAACGTTTATGCTATTTTCAGCGTCATAATTGCAATTCTTATATTTTGTTGTCAGTTTAAGTAATGTATTATGTAATTGGTGACTTTATTGTATTTTGTTGTCGCTTCCATTATTGTGTTTTGTTGTTGCTTCCATTATTGTGTTTTGTTGTCGCTACCATTGTTGTCGCTACCATTATTCTGTTTTGTTGTCGGTGCCATTATTGTGTTTTGTTGTCGCTACCATTATTGTGTTTTGTTGTCGCTACCATTATTCTGTTTTGTTGTCGGTGCCATTATTGTGTTTTGTTGTCGCTACCATTATTGTGTGTTGTTGTCGCTATCATTATTGTGTTTGGTTGTCGGTGCCATTATTGTATTTTGCTGTCGGTGCCCTTGAGAATTTTGTTGTCGCCATTTTTGTATTTGGTTAACTAATATACTAATAATATGTTTATTGCCAATGTCATATTTGTATTTTGTTGTCAGTGCCATCATTGTATATGGTTGTCTGTGTCATGACTGCATTTTGTCGTCAGTGCCATTACAGTGTTTGTTTTGTTGCCGCATTGTTGTCAGTGACATTTATGTATTTTGTGGTCAATATCATTTATGTATTTTGTTCACAGTACCATTTTCCGATTTTTTTTTTCAGTGCATAATTGTATTTTTATTGTCAATTCCAATTTTGTTGTTGGTGCCATTAATGTATTATGTTGTTGTCAGTGCCATAATTATATTTTGTTGATGTCAGTGTCATTATTGTATTTTGTTCTTATCTGTGCCATAATTGTATTTTGTTGATGTCAGTGTCATTATTGTATTTTGTTCTTGTCTGTGTCATAATTGTATTTTGTTGTTACCAGTGCCATTGTTGTATTTTGTTGTTTTTGTCATTATTGTATTTTGTTCTTGTCTGTGCCATAATTGTATTTTGTTCTTATCTGTGCCATAATTGTATTTTGTTGATGTCAGTGTCATTATTGTATTTTGTTCTTGTCTGTGCCATAATTGTATTTTGTTGTTCCAGTGCCATTATTGTAGTTAGTTGTTGTCAGTTCCATTGTTGTGTGTTTAATTGTCGGTGTCATGAATGGGTTTTATTGTCGGTAAAATTCTTTTATTTTGTTGACAGTCTCATTGTCGTGTTTTGTTGTGAGTGCCAATGCTGTTATTTTTTTTTTCAATTCACCGCCCCCATATTGTGTGTGCTTACGATAAGGGTAAATATACTTAAGCTCGTCCAGTTCCCTTCTTCAATTTAAAATAAACAATAATATTTGTAACTTTTTAATAGAATGCTGTATTTGACCTAATTATATACTTAACGTAACATTTGGAATTCTTTTCTTCGTGTATTCACCCCCTCCCCTTTTTTTCCCCGGCTACAAAAATACAACAACTAAAGTACAAAAATACGTTAAAATGCATTGAAATCTAAATGACATTAGATGTATAACCATCAAAATCCTACAAATGAAGTTATGAGTAGTATACCATAACGCACAAAAAGATTTAGCCTACAATACTGTACTCCCTCTTTCAATCAGAAGACAATATCTTAAAAGACATCATTTGTAATATATTTTTGGCGTATTTTCTGTATCCATCTATAATATCTAGAATTGGATTTAATGTTAGATCATAACGACAGCTTGTGTGTGTATTGTCTGTCTTGTGCATATAAAATTCTAACTAAAATGACATTGGTTATATAATTTATTGTAAGGACAGACCATAGTTTAAGAATGACGTGCTTGAGAACTATAAAAAAATATTTGTTTTTATTCGCAGTCTATTAGCATAAAATCTACCACATACTAATCTATTAGCGTGATAGAAAGAGATCTGTGTTATCAGTGTCGAAAATTTAAAAAACAATTACATCAGATTTACAATTATAATGATCAGTAATCTAAATCGAGAAAATGAAAACAGCATTTCATAATATATAAATTTGGTTCGTCCTAAACGGTTTTCTTGATTTACCTTCATCATGGACACTCTAACCCAAAATTTGAAGGCCTAGGATGTTGGAGTGCTTGAATACATGATAAGCTTTTAGGTAATAATGGACCTTTAAAGAATAATTAAATCCACCTTAGGTCTATTTTGCTTCAGGGAGATAGGACTTTAGTGTCTTCAAAATTTCTTAATTTAGTAACTGACTATTTAAGAAAGGAATGTTATAAATCATGTCAGTATAGCCAAGTACCGACTACTGAGGTGATGATACCTTTGGGGGTTTGGGTGTAACTGTTCACAAGCGGTATCAACACAGTGAAAATAACACCTTATAAACGTTGCATCCGAAGAGCTATCTCTGGAATACCATTTAGAAGTTGATATCGTCTTCAGTGCCTGAAATATACAAAAGTACAAACAGTTTGTACAAATATACATGAACCTATGTATGTACCGGTCGTCTAAAAATAGCAATTGATTCCTTTTTCCTCGGTAATACTTGCTCTTGTTATTTTTTCAGTTTACTTTGAAGGGATGTGGCAAGGTTTGAACTGTTCGAAAACGGACAACAACCTCCCTTACTTTCGGCTGTTTTATTTCAGATTAATGTCGGTGACGTAGCTTTACCCTTATTTCAAGTGAGGCAAACGATTTGAAGCTGGAGAGTCAACGACACGGTGCGGAATTAATCAAAGATTATGAAGCAGTTTGTGAGTTGATGGTTCAAGGGGAAATCCGGCGTCTCAAAAGAGATTTTATTTACAGATGCATCCCTCATAGAATTGTTGCTATGTTTTTAGCGTGTAGAAAGTGTGTCATTCACCCTACACAAAGCATCACTTTTACGTTCAATAATTTACGTTTTAAGTCAATGTAAAAAACAAATGAAAGAATTATGAGCATCTCTAAAGAGGTTTTTGTAAAATCGGCTATGTCTTTTAACATATACGTTTCTAAAGGGGATTTACCAAACTACAGGGATAGATTATAACTGGAAGAACTATGAAGAATAAAGGAACATGTTAATGAAAATAGGAGCGCAGTTGGTTCCTTGCACAGCGACGTCGACTGTCAGTAAGGAATGTCCAATAAACATTACAAATAAAAAAAAAATTCAAGTATGTCACTTTTACAGTTCTTACTTCATGTATGAATATATTTTTACGACGTTGAATTTCTCCGTTGAAGCTACGCCACTGAATGTAATTGAAATCTGTGGGGAATATGTCAAAGTTTATTTAATTGTTAAAACAAATCCTATCTTGTGGGCATATTTTTTTTTATTGATCTATCTTTCTTTTTATTTTTCCATCATTTGTGCTTTCCGTCTTCCAATTACAATATACAAAGCTATATTATCGACTCTTTCCATTCCAAAACAAAATTATGGATATAGATATAATCCATCAAATGACGGGGTAATACGAACTCATATAATGACTTTTTTTTCTTCTTTTCGTTCTATCTAACAATGAAGATCTGTCCTATATATCTAGAACTGATGAAATTCATTTGTGAAAATACATAATATGAAAAAAGAATTTTCCTCTTCATGGATACCTCGGTAACATATAATCTAAAGCCTATTGTCAGTGATAAAGTGCCTATTCAAGGTTTCTTGCCAATGGCTAAATTCATCCATTTATTGATAGTAAAGTGTAATAACATTCAGCAAACAATTTTTCCATAATAGATAAAGGGTCAAGACAAATCAAATATGGCTTATTAGCCTGCTTGAGCTATTCTTGAAGAGGTCTCCAACAAATAAGCTCAAAAGGTGAAGAGATGATTTAACGAAAAATACTTAAAAATTACAAATGAGATGTAAATCATTATTTGGATGAAATTCGTACTGTGAAATAGTTTAGTTGTTTACACACCAGAATAGTCCTCTCATTAGTAAATATCACGATTGTGTTCTATTCCTTATTTTGACTTTCCCTCAAGTTTTTTTTTCTTTCGGTTTGTTTATTCAAAATGGATTTACCAGTAAATTAGCGTTGCTTCTTATATGTAATAGCTCATCATTGAAAATCATTATTTGTTAATTATGGCATGTATGATTTTAATTTAATGACATTTCTATATTTAGGCGTATGGATGTCTGTTTTAATTTTCTGAAACTGGCTTCGTTTTTACTAGTTGAAAAATATCCTGTTATAATCTTTCTTGTCTTTTCATAGCATTTAGTAACATAAAGAGTTTTTATAATATATTAACAAAATAATCAGTGCTTTTGCAGTTGGATATTACAATGGCGGCTGTTTTTAAATTTAATTCGTTTTTTTTAATGTGTGGTTTTCTATTTGATCGCGTTCTTCTTTCACACTTAATACTTGAATTAACCAACTATAGCTAACACATTACTGTGAAGAAAACTGGTTATTGGTTTATTAATGCCACATCTGCAGCTAGTCCAATATCAAAGTTTATCATCAGAATCGCCATATTTATTTTCCTCTGTATAATTACGAAATCTGTTAAAGAACCCGCTTGTACTGGATCGATACATCCTTGTGCGCAAGGCAATTGTTCAGCTATCAAAATAAAGACTGAAGTCAAATAAGGCAAAAAGTTTTGTCACAAGTGTAAAGAAGTTTATATTATGATATGAGGACTATGACGCCGGAAGAAAAATTATTATTATATGAGACAATAAGCAAAGAACAGAAAAAGTGTACAGAAAGCATTTCTAAGATTAGGCCCAACTTTGGAGGTAAGAAAAACTTGTATAATTACAGAATGTGATATTTTAAATGAAACACGATAAAATATTTAATAGTTTGTCTATATATGAACTAATTTCTCACTGTTTATATAAAGAATAGTATACGCTATCATGAGTGATGTCCAGTTTGCATCGATCAAAAACTACAACATAGAGCTAAAAGAGGCAGTGCACTTAGTACGGAAACAACGTAAAAACTCATTGAAGAAAAAACAAAGGGAGTATTGACCCTGTGAAAATATTTGTATTTTTCAAATTTTCACACGGTGACTTACATGCAAGTTAATTTTGTCAGATTTTCGCTTAATGCATAAAAATACTAAATAATACGATACCGTCCAACTGAGTATATATATATCAATAACTTTAAGACATGTGGGATAAACGTGGAATTTTTTGTTTTGTTTGTCTTTAGTTTGTGTTTTATATACTGTTGTTTGTTATTTCTATTCTATTAGAATAAAAGTCTATTCAGGAGAAATAACATCAGAAAATTCTCGATGATATTTATTTTAAAAGATATTACGTACAATTAGGAGTTATTATTATTATTCTAAGTTATGTATCTATGTTTGGCTTTTATTTGGATGGGTTTTTTTTTTTTTTGGTTTTTTGTTTGTTTGTTTATTTTTCAAATTAGATCTTTAATCGTTTGAAAATGTTATATTTGAATCTGTTTTTATTTCATTCTATTGTCTGTACTGTAACAAAATGACTGATAGCACCTTTTGCAAATTGCCTTGGTATAATTTATCCATATATAAGATTCATACACAATACTAATTTCACTTTAGACGGCCAAACAGTAGTGATATGTTTAAGTACACAAGTATGGTTGAAATGAATAAATGACATGGTAATAGCATTTAAATGATTTGTATTATTTGTAATATGAGTCCATTAATTGGATTTTTACAGATAATGCAAATACTATAATAATACATGTATTATTTGTAAATTGGCGAAAAATGTCCTGTTATCCGTGTTTTCACTTAACAATGCTTAGTTTTACTTATTTAAACACTGCTTGATAAAATACAAAAAGTGGTTCTTTGATAATGAACTAAAGTACATTATATTTTTATTATTTAAAAGACCTGTATGTGGACTATTATATAACGTCTTTATTCTAATGTAATATATACGAGTGAACATACAGTATGCCTTCAAATGTGGTTTGAAGTCATATTAAACGAGTTTCTTGTAATTATAGTATAAAAACGCATATATGTAGAACTCGACTCGACGTCCGGTCTCTAATCGATGCCCGTTCTTCAAATCGACGTCGAATCTAACGTGATAATTCAATAAGATTCCAAATCGACGGCCGATTTTATGCGCTCTAATCGAGTATTCTCAAATCGAAGCCAGCTTCTTGGCTTAGATTTCACGAATGAAAGAAAAATTGCATCAAATAAATAAAAAGTTATTTAATTAGATTTATTAAAATTTTGATTTGATAATTTATCATCGAGGTAAACAGGTAAAAAAAAACTGATGTTCATTTTAAATTGCCCTAACTTTAGAATGGTACGTCAGATTGGACGTCGATTTGAGACCGGACGTCGATTAGGGTCTAACATATACTAAACTAATTCATCTATCGTATGCACTTTTTTGTTAACATTTATTACACGTGTACAATCCATAACGTATCATATATTACCAAAAGATATCATTCAGTGATTGTTGATCGAAAACTTGGCTGCTTATTTACTTTCGGGTTATGTTGCCGAAGTTTACCAATCGTGACCTTAGTAAACAATCAACACAGATCATTGAGCACTTGAACAATAAGTGAGATAATAGAGCGTTGTTTAATTTTGTTTTTCTTTCATGTTTTCCATGCGTTTCCATTTGTTAATTTAATTTTGCCTTAACAGTTGTTAAATGATAAGGTCTAGTAAAATTTTACTTCTAGAATTAATTAACACTATCTACCTTGAAGTTCCACGCTCGTTTACCTTTTCTTTCATCACAGTCTTTCCCTCGCATTTGAACTGTGCGGTTGCCGAAGTTCTAACGAGAGGTCTCGTGAATAAGGTCACTGTATACTGAAAAGCTGTTAAAGTACGGGAAGACAATAATTCATTAGCAGTACATTTCTTAAGATTTTGATAAGATAAAGGATTTTCTTATAAGAAAAGTTCATGTACACGTGTTTTATAGTAAAAGTTAGCCATTCAAGTATACAAAACATATTCAACTTATTTTTTTAATTTGAAGTATCATATGACTTAAAGAGTTTTTCTAAATGAAATGGTATATATAAAAACTTCGCTTAGGCTGAATCAAAATATGAAAGATTATGCAGGTCCATTGATTGTTGTAATATATATTTCGAACACGTTTGTATAACATCTTTGTGTTCGAAATATAGGTCTTGGTATACTATATAATTTACCCGTACATAAGTTGATTTGAAACAGTTCATTTTAGTTGAAGTCAACAGCTTGTTGCACTGTTTTTCTGTTTTACCACAAGTGTACAACTATGATTTTTCCGCCACATACATTAACAAATTGTACATGTCCACACCAGGAAGTCAAGTGATTGTTATAGTAATCTTATACATTGTATTAGTATTATTATTTTATTTTACATGCTTCAATTTGGCAATCTTTTATCTCAGTTGAATTTATAGTATTTGATATATTCACCGTTTCGTTTAGGTATATAAATATATATAGATGGATATTTATCGGACATCGGGATAGTTGCATCATTTGCAATAATACCATGTTTCTTTATTAACTAGGAAATATTACAACAGCTGCCATTTCATAAGATTTGTCAGTTTTCAACCATACAATCTTTTCATTTTTATGTATGAGATAATAAACAAATGTTTAGAATGATAATGAATTCGCGCCGTTTCCCTGGCTTTTTGAAATTTTTGGTATGAGCGTTCCTGATAAAGGATGTAATTTTATATTGGTTTAATTCGTCAAAACAGTATATCTGTAAAATATAACTGAGGAGATGTAGTATGATCTCCAAAGAGACAACTATTACCAAAGACTAAATGACAAGTATGGATAACAAGTAATCGTAATTACTATGGTCTTTAACAATAAGAAAACCCAATACCGTATATTAATATTTTAGTAAGCTATAAAAGTCCCCGGGGTAACAAAATGTGAAAATTTCGAATCAGAAAATCAACAGCCTGATTTTATTTAATAACATTCAACAATACTGGGATACATTGAAAGCTGAACTTTAATTTCGTTCTACAGGGGATATTGGGTTTCCATGCAATTCCAAACATCTTTTTTATAGGGATATTGAGTTCCTATACAATAACATATTTCATTTTTTTAACGCAATTCATAATATCAATCGTTAATGTGGATATTGGCATATACTATTACATTTTGACACACTTATAGCTGAATGTGAATACACGTTGATGTTGGATAATGAGACGGCAACCACACACCACAATTTATACACAAATGCGTTATGCATTTAAAGTCTTCTCATTCAGACATATATGAAAAAAGGAGATTTCAGGTAAACATCATTGAGACAGCCACTTAACGACCCAAAAAGCATGAAATCTAAAGAATGAATATATGTATGGTCTTCAAAAAAGGCATATGTCAAGGTCTGTATTTGCATTACAGGCAAATGAATACTTGATCTGGTAAAACAATTGTTTTATTTCTTCTAGATCTTCTTCTTGCATGCTAAGGACATACTTTCCAACGGGTGTGTGGAGTCTGACTATCGCCTTATAAGTACGCCTATAGATATACTTTTACAGATTATGTATGCAGATTAAAACTATATGCAGTCTCTCCATTAAGTGGTATCTGGAACTTGTTCTTAGGGCTGTCTGGAATACGTCCAGTGTAGGTGACTTTGTCAAGTTGGTAAGAAGAAGAATTCTCTCTTGAGTGGTTCTTAAGTTTAATGATGATTTATTTTGTTAACACGGAGAGTGGCTCTTAATTGGTACAGACGTTGTTGTCCTCTAGTTCTATGGTCGTTTGGTTTCAGTATGTCACTGACATCTACAACTACGAAATTATGATCTTTTTGGATATTGTGTAGCAAGGAAAACCGCTGCTTCTTCTCAGAACCGGTAGTTGTTCCCAGCTTAGGTCTGTAATCATTTTAGTGACGCATAATGGAGTATTGTCTGAGATTGAGTTGTTATAATTGAAAAAAACGAGCAGTTGTTCTCTGCGTCTTGTCCAGTGGCGATATTCACCCTCCCATCACATAAAAACAAAAAGAAAATAACCAAAATGTTAATTTGTAATAACGTAACCGAAATGTATTGATTGTACATAATGGGGCTTTGTCAGATAGCATTTAGTATTATATGTTCTGATGATTATAGTGACTTTCTTCTAAAGATATTCAATAATCAATTTTTTGTAATGCTGAATTATATACTAATTAGATATCTTGTACGGGTTATGGGTAATTTTCAGTGAGATTGCCATTAACAATGATGTAACGTTTTGTTTCACAGAAATCGACCTAGTTTCATATAGGGGATGTTACGTCGAAAATTCGATGTGCATGCACTTACTTAACAAGAAGAAAATAACGATTATATCATTTTTGTATCATACATGTATCTATGGAGTTACATAAGACAAGACGAAGATATTTCAATTATTATCTTATGAATGAAAGTAAATAAAGGTTATGTTACTAGTCACGGTACATAAAGAAACAAAATTATTTTAGGTAGATATAAGAAGATGTGGTATGAGTGCCAATGAGACAACTCTCCATCTAAGTCACAATTTGTAAAAGTAAATCATTATAGGTCAATGTACGGCCTTCAACACGGAGCCTTGGCTCACACTGAACAGCAAGCTATAAAGGGCCCCAAAAATTACTAGTGTAAAACCATTCAAACAGGAAAACCAACGTTCTAATCTGTATAAAAAAAACGAGAAACGAGAAACACTTATGAACCACATCAACAAACGACAACCACTGAACAACAGGTTCCTGACTTAGGT